TTTTTTTTTTTTTTTTTGTTGGGGGGGGGGGGGGTTACATGGTCAGTCAAATTGACCAACCTTGTATATAGTTTGGGTAGAGAAAATTTACAGATAAAGTATACAGTTTTGCTTTAAACAAACATTTGAAATGTAGTTATGAGATTTTAGTGATTACACATGAAATTTTTAGATATTTTTGATATGAAGAAAAGTATTTAAATCTTAACATGAAAATCACTTTCCACACAGCCTATTCAAAACAGATACTCGATATATTCAAGGACAAATCTATTTTTACCTTATTAAAAATACTTCACTAAAAATATGATTTTTTTTGTATGTGAAGGACTTATAATATGAACTGAAAGACTGCCAAATTTTGTGAATATATACATACTATATTGACAGTTAGAAGTATTAAATCTATAAAGACTAATTGAGTACAAAGAGGTCACGTGTTGAGGAGTTAAACAGTTCAAGCCTGCAACACAGCTTTAGTGTTTAAGGTATATAACACACTCTCTTCTCCACTGATAAATTATTTTGACCTACAGATCAGTTTAATGCAAGCTAAGCAAGCATTTGAAAATTCTCTTGACTGACTAGAATCAAGAGAGTCTTAGCTAAAACCTGTTCATATAATCAAAGAAGCTCAACATCTCAGACATAACCAATTCACTTTCTCTAGTTTCATTACATTATAGTTACTATGTAATGCACATTTTCAGCACATGTTCATATGATTAAGAAAATATGAATTTGAATATAAAACATGACAAGAGAGACTTGAAAATTTTTTTGAGCTTTGATGCTAGTAATATTTTTTCATTACAACTTAACAAGGATTGTAAACATTAAACACAATAAAATTTCATGATTTAAAACTGCTTTTTATACATATTTCAACACATAATTTACATTGAACAGACTTGTATTCATAAATAAATGTACAGTGATATACTTTCAGAAACAACCTTTTTTCTTGTGTATTGCAATAATAAATTACATTAATTCAATACATCCTCTAGCATCAACTTATAGTACACAAGTTACAAACCACAGTATACATCAAGACACTTGGCAAAAACCCGATTCACAATATTATATTATGTACTTTATGTGCATGATCTTTCTTAATGATACGAGTGGCTAGCAGAAAGTTTCATTTACATATTTTGTTTGAAATAATTTAATTTGAATTTCATACACTAATAACAAACTTTCAGTAAAAACAGTATTTACTCATTGCATTTATGAGCTTTAAGAAGCAAAATCAAACTAAAATAAAACTGTCATAATTTCTTATTTTAATTTTTCCACAATTAATGTCCACTGCATTTACTTAATTCCTGTAAACTAGTAAATTACTAATAAGTAAAATTATGGACTCGAGTATGGACTAAGGTGATAAAAATAGTGATCTTGAGTTTTGAAAAAGGAATTCAACCTCTGTATTATTTTCTGTTATAATCTAATAAAAATATCATTTATTTCTAGTATAATGGGCATTCTTTTAAGCTGTAATAATGTTTAAAGAAACATTTAGAATATTTTAATCTATTCTTTGCCAACTATGATGCAACTTTGTAAGAGACTTAGCAAAATTTCAAACTAATATTGAGTTTCTTTATTTGATAAGTTTATCGTATTGAAGTGCATTAGTGACATACTATATTCTCACACTATTTGCACAACAGTTTACGCCATGCCTATTAGGTTGTGTACAGTGCCTTGCAAAAGTATTCACCCCTACCAATAACGTCACATTTTGATGAAATACAAATAATATAGATAATCTTTTTAATGAACTTGTTTTTATCAAAAATTCTAATAATCATACTTAATGCTGTTATGTGTGAAGGAGGTTGAATGTCAGCAAAACAAGCAAATAAAATATATAAATTGAACTTTGCTGATTGCATAAGTATTCAGCCCCCTAAGTCAGTACATGTTGGAAGCAATTACTGCTGTGAATCATTTAGATAGATCTGTACCAGCTTTCACAATGGGATGGTGTAATTTTTGCCCATTCTCCCTGGCAAAATTGCTCCAATTCTGACAAATTGGTTGGGGATTGTTGAAGGAGTGTAATTTCAAGACTCACCATTAATTTTTTATTGAATTCAAGTCAGGACTTTGACTGGACCACTCCAGGACATTCTTCTGAAACCACTCAAGTGTGGCTTTGGCCTTGTGCTTCTGGTCATTGTCCTGCTGAAATGTGAATTTTCAACCCAGTTTTAGATTCTTGGCTGACTGAAGCAGGTTTTTCTATAAGATTCACCTATACTTTGCACCATCCATCTTCCCCTCAAACCTGACAAGCTTTCCAGTCCCCACTGATGAGAAACATCCCCGTAACATGATGTTGCCACTACCAAGCTTGACAGTTGGGATGGTGTTGACTGGGTTATGTGCTGTGTTGGGCTTGCACCAGAAATAACGCTTTGAATTAAGACCAAAAAGCCTAATTTTTGTCTTGTCTGACCACAAAACATTCTGCTGCACGTCTGCATTATCACTTGTATGCTCTGTCGCAAACTCTATATGAGATTTAAGATTACTATTTTTTCAGTAATGGCTTGTTTCTTTCCACTAGCCCATACAGGCCAGCTTTGTGTAGGGATCAGGATATTGTCGATGTATGAACACTGACTCCCATCTCAGACATGGAACTTTGCAAATCTTTCAAAGTCATTGTTGGCTTCAAAGTGGCATCCTTAACCAGTTTCCTATTTGCCCGGATGTTTACTTTGGAAGGACGGTCTGATCTGGGCAGTGATTTGCTGGTATGAAGCACATTTCACTTCTTAATGATGAAATTCACCATACTCAAAGGGATAATCAACAAATTTGAAATTTTCTTGTAACCTTCTCCCATCTATGCTTCTACCACTTTATCCCTGACTTGTTTGGAAAACTCCTTGGTCTTCATGATTGGTTTGTTGTATCACTATGTTGGTTGTGGCTTGAAAATATGTATTTACTTTGAAGTCAAGTTAAACACTGATTACACACAGACAGAAACCATTACACTAATTTTTGACTGTTCAAACTAATCTTTTGCTCCTAAACTGCATTGAGGGTTGCCATAGCAAAGGGACTGAATATTTATGTAATTAAGAATATTCTTATTTTCTTTGAAAATCTAACTTACATATTATATCCATGTTTTTTTGGCTTTCTCAGTTTGGAGAAGATTGTGAAGATTCTAATATAAAGTCCCATTTGAAAATTTCATGACTGCAAGCTCAGACAGCAACAAAATATGGAACTTTGCAGGGGGAGAGTGAATACTTTTGCAAGGCATTGTACGTGAATAAGAATTCACATCATGTTCTATTGAAATATTATTTATTTAAAAACTTTCTACTCTACCAAATATGAAATTATGTAAATAAACAAATATTTTTCATCTTATACTTTTTACTTTATGTTACTGCAATGTATATGTACTTATCTTTTATGGTATGCAACTTAACCGAAACTTATATTTTCAAATATGTTTCACTGAATGACAATTTTAGTTAAACATTTTGTAAGCTTTTAAATTTACATACTTCCTATTTTGTGCAAGTTGACTGTAAAACTCTGAATGACTTAATTATTACATGTAAATTTACTTTGATTTTATGACATCCTGTTATATTTTACAGATTTTTCAGTTGGTTTCCACTTTGTCAGATTGTATATAATTTAGGTTCAATACTATAAGAAAAAATACTTAACACCAGTAAAATTTTGTTTCACCTTATCTTGGTTTACGATGTTCCATTGTTTCCATGGCCAGCAAGAAGTGTTACTGAAATTATTATTTAACTTCTTATGCTATATATTATATGCTTGAGAACATAATTAAATAACAAACATTGAAACATGAATCATTTCAATTTAAGTGAATTGCTCTCTAAATTAATTCATTCTGAAGACTAGTAAAACAATTTGATGAAAATTAAAAACAATATTATGTTTTCAAATATCAGTAGTCAGGCCACTTAACACACTGAAGTCTTAAATGCCACATTTTTTTTTACTAAGTGTAAGTGTATACATTACATTACTTGGGTTTGAGTTTGTTTTGAATTTCACGCAAAACTACACAAGCGTTATCTGCACTAAGCGTCCCTAATTTAGCAGTGAAAGACTACAGGGGAGGCAGCTAGTTATCATCACCTACTGCCAACCCTTGGGCTACTCTTTTACCAACGAATAGTGGGAATGACCATCACATTATAATGCCCCTATGGCTAAAAGGGCAAGCATGTTTGGTGGGACGGGTATTTGAATCCGTAGATTTTGAGTTGAGTTTCATAACCACTTGGCCATGCCAGGTCCAATACATTACTAGCAGCTAATTAAGGCCAGTACTATTTATGCAGTATACCAAACAATAATAATACAACTCATGTACTTATGCTTTAATTTCAATTTAAAAGAAAAGCTACATTCACAAATTAGTCAATATGTAATTATATCTTAAAAAATCTTATTTCCATTACTCCCCAAAAACTTTAATGAAAGTTGCCCTTTACTTTTCTGTGACTTTCAGTGGCCATATGAACCCAATTTTAATATTAAAAAACAACAAAAACTTACACAAGTATATATGTATAAATTTCTCAACTTGCCATTAAGAAGACTGACTCAGCATTTATGAAATAAGTATATAAACACATCATTATCATAGCTACATTTATTCAAACACAACTTTTGTACTAAATTCAGAGTCCATCAAATCCAGTTCTTTACTTAAGATGAATTAAAAATATCTGCAACTATTTTACACGCATTTCATGTAAATGTTTGACTTTGCATTATTGTTCATTATCTTACTTTACATACTTCATAAGTAATCTTGCATTACACAGCAATATCTACAAATCTGGCAAGATATGTAATGAAACATCATGTAAATTGAAGTTACTAATTAGTAGCAATTCTGCTCAAACTAGCTCTGCGATTTATAACCAAGAATAAGTACCATCATGGTATTTTCAATTACACTTGAGGCATTACAAAGTTTTACAAACAAGGTCTTTCTCTCAATATCAAATTTCATCAGGCTGACTAGGTTGTGAAACTCAAAGATTCTAATTTTAATGAATCAGTCAAGTTACAGATTTTATGTAAAATAAAGGCACTCTAGAAATCTGCACTGAGTTAGTTAAAACAAATCAGATATTAAAAATTATCACTGAACTGGGAACTTTACTATACTTTGCAACAATTACATCATTTTTGATGATTTTTAAATGATTTAATACAAATGCTATACTGCTGATTTTAACATGTTATATTGAACAATGAAACAACATATTTCTCAGTTTGAGAATCCTAAGGACAGTTTCCAATGAATAACACTTTTATTATTCTTGCAACACTATAGTACCATCACTGGTTTGATTCCTGACTAACTCTATAACCAAAAACCATTGGTCTGTTTAGAGCAGGTATGGTACCCAGTGGTGATGGCCCTCTTGGTTGCTGCCCCACAGGATTGCCCTAGGTAGGATGGATAATCAGCTGAGTATGGTCCTGGTGGTAGGTCCAAGTTGACAATGGGACTTAGATACCACCTAAGCTCTATCAGATGAAGATTAATAATGCAGTGTTTTAATAAATGTTTCAAAACACATATAAAAGTTATGCAAAAAATGATCATTTCAAAACTTAAAAAGAAACCTATACAAAACACATTGTTTTCACATTCAACCAAAATACACAGAAAAGTCAGTTTTACTGGATGTTTACAATATGTTTATATATATATATATATATATATATGTATGTATGTGTGTATTCTAATATACAAGAAGAAGCCAATATAACTGCTGATGATCTATTTATGATTAACGTACATTAACAAAGCAAACAAACACATCAGTACAACAGTCAAAAGAAACACATTTTTATATCCATATATGCAATACAACAACACATATTAATTATGGTACAAGAAAACAAAAACAAAACTTACCAAGCAGTCTGCATCAGCTTGTGATTCTTCTCACATTCCAAAACTTGAAGGAAAGTCACAATAATCTATAAAATTTCAGTGTTTATTAAAAACATAAACTAACAATACAATTTTTATTCCTAAACTCAACAACCTGTAAAAAAACATTCTTATTAAATATCAGGTATTTATAGCTGCAAAACCTTCCCAGAAGAATGTTCTTATAATGGTGTTATTATTTTTCAAAATGTTTATTTCTTTTAGAAACAATTCCTCTTTATCTTGCTTTAGTTGCATGTAAACACTACTATATAATAACTTTAACAAAACACAAAACATTTGCTTAAAAAAAATAAACAAACAATACTTTAGACAACTTCCTTGTACATCCAACAATTCTTTGGCTAGTTAATTGAATTTCACTGATAAATCAGTAAAGTATTGTTTGGAATTGAGTAAGTGTAACTATAAGGACTCTCTACGTGTCCATACCTTATGAGGATGCTTTACATGAACACAGAAGCCCAGCTCCTTCAGAACTCTTCTCTCTGCCTTGATGACTTGGTTCTTGAGGTTAATATAATTCTGATCCAAGATCAATGGCTGAATGGTCCTAAACAAGTGAGAGAAGATTCTCTACTGTCAGCTACCTAGCGTAGGTCTTGATTGGTCAAATCTAGAGAGCAGTGATCACTAGCTAGTTTCTCTTCATGTAGGTGTCTTCTCTACCAACCTACCTTACAGGTTCACAGCTAAAATAATACTATCAACACTACTCTTATTGTTCATAATGGTTCCACACAGCTTTTATCAACCTATCATCAACACCCTTTAATTATCATGCAGCAGTACCATGAATGCTAAGTGAATTTTTTTTCGCTATTATCTACAACATTATCTAGCAATGTTTTTCTTTTTATCCTGTTGAATTAATATATATATATATAGCTAATCTATGCTGCAAAATTAATAAGTTTTGGAAGAATAAAATTATAAGACTTACACTACCAGGTATTGCAAGATATTAATGGAGCAAATAATAGATAATTTACCATAAAATTATACATATTACTGTTTTACATTTTCAAAACCTCAAATTAAATTAACATTATAACAGCATCTTACAGGGGAAAGCTAAAAAACTCTTGAAATGACACAAAAATTAAGCATGAATTGTCTGAAACTGCCTTAAGTTTGCCAACTTGTTTTAGTACTAGTCCTGATGGCATACTTACTTGCTCATTTGGATCAGACACTGCCAACACTTGCAGCATGTGTTTTTACTCTGCAAGTGCTTTTTAAACATTTTGAAGACTGTGGGAAATCCTGGACTAAAGATCTGAGAAACAAAAAAGTAATGCCTCTATTCAGTCAAACTCAGTTTCCCACTGATTTTTATCAACAAAATGGTTTGATGTTTGGTAAACATTGTCAACACTCTGAAACCATATAGATGCTGTAGTTACAATGATCATTTAACATTAAATTTCCACCTAACAGATTGTAGCAATTCAGAGATAATTACTTGGTATATTAGTCTCAGTTTTATCCAGAAATCTCCATTTTTCAGGTGCTATGATAACAATGTTAAAAAATGAAAATTTAATATTTAAGACACTGTAGCAATAATTCATTATTTCTTGCACTATGCAAGTACTAAACAATGTTTTGCTAAACTATCTTGCTAATTGTGTATTCTTGTTATGCATTACAACACAAATTCAACATAATTGTTTAACACTTATTTTATCAAAGGTCTACCAATCACCATATCTCATAAGCTAAACTTTCTTTTGTTAGTAATAATAATAGCAGTGGAAATATTGCCACTTAATATCATATGAAGCATCTTTTTTATGATTCTCTGGGACAAAGCAACTAGATATAATAATGAAATAAACATATTTTACAACATACAGTCATCAGAGAAAATAAATCTGAAAATCAAGAAGAGGAGAGAAAAAAAAACACTCATAGGTCTCAATATGTGACATCTTGTGCTCTACATTAAAATAATAATAAAAAAGAGGATAGGAAGTCCAGCTTGATTTCAAGCCTTGTTAAACAAACTGAAAACAGTATGTTTAAAATATAAATTAAGGATTCAAAGATAACAGGTTCATAAAACAAGACAATATTACACCATACATGAGTTATTTATTCTAAAAAATCTGAAAACTATATTAGTTGCATTGAAGTGTGAATATGGCAGAAATGACAACCCCATATGTTATTCATCGTCCATTCTATCATTGTAGAATTAACCCCAATTTTAGAACAATAAAATTTTGGAGTATTCTCATATTACTAGATAATAACTGCCAGTTTTTACAAAACTGGATATTAGCTTATATCGTTCTTTTTTTGTTACTGTATTTATGTAAAAGTTATTGCTGCCAAAACCATCTATTTAGTGTATTTGATGCTTAAGTATAAAAATAGCTATGAAATAACTGTATTTGTAAAACACATATTTGTTTAAAATGCTTAGAAAGTATTTCCAATTCAATTTTACAGAACTAGAACTCAAATTAGAATCAAAACTTAAAACATTCAAACACAATAGGTTTGTTGTTTGTTAAATTTCAGACTAAGCTACTCAAGGGCTATCTGCTCTAGCAGACTCTAAGTTTGAAGTAACAGACTAGAGGGAAAATAACAAGTCAATACCAATCACCACCAACTCTCTATCAACAAATAGTGAGATTGTGTATCATATTATAATGCCCACATCTGAAAGGGGAAGCATTTTTGGCAATGGGTTTTGATCCTGTAATCCTTGACTGCGAGTCAAACATCTTAACCACTAAGTTATGTCATACCCTAACACATTAGGGTCACATGTTAAAGTTGGTGTGTACAGAGTTACTAGATATTAGGTCTATGATTCTATGTAAAGTTTAATTTACCCAATACATATTCCAGTACTGTGACTACACAGATTGTTTGTTTCAGTATGATTACATTAGTTTTTCCTGTTAAAACCCCACCTAAAGAACTATAGTAATATGGAGATATTTAGTAGGTATAAATACTATGTTCAACAGCTTCCAAGTAAAATAATGTTGTACTTAAACTAATGATTACAGTTGTGTTGACATAACAAGGACAGCATAGTTTCCAAAATAGGAAAAGTTAGTTATCCTCATATAATTCCCCCCTCTACCTTTAGAACTTTGAAAGATCATATACTGAAACTGGAAACATGATAGGTGGATAAAAAATATCAGTATATTAAATATCCCTTATCATGAAGAGAACTATCATCAACAGATAACAACAGCTGAAGTTAAACAAATACAATTATTGTATATTTATTTTAAATATTTTTTTTTCATCAGAAGTGAAATTGAAAAGAATCTGTGATGTAGAGGCCTAATGCATTCTTTGATTGGCCATACCTACTGCTGTGGACTGCAGTTTCACTAATTCATGCCTCATCAACACAGCTTGGGTCAGCAAACCAAAGAAATATCATCAGGTCTCTTATAATGGGGAAATGTATATAATATATAGTTACTATATGGTGAAGTAAAATGGACTCAAAACCCCAAAGAGATTTATATGCAATACTAGCATTATTAACATTACAGATGAAATCAGTTCTTCACACATGTTGTATTACTGGTTTTATCATGAATAATACCGATTTTAGCCAGATTTATAACTTAATTTCAATTAAATGCTCTAAAAAATTTAGATTTGCCTTTGTAAAAGATATACAAGTGATAATTTTTTATTAATCCATGTATAAATAATTGTAAGTTTTATAATAGTCTGAATGCTAATTCAGTGGTTAAACATTCTAACAAAACTGTTAACTAATTTTACTAGGTGAGCATCTAGAAACAGCTCAACAATGGAGTATGATGCCAGAAAATAACAATGTTTCTTCTTTTAGCTACTCAAAATAATACAAGGACTTATAATGAAAATACTTTCTTTGTTCCAAGTAATGCAATTAATTTGCCCATAGATAACTTTAAATTTTAATGATATTCAAAAATGTCTTTTCAAATACAGCCTAAGCATCTGAGTAGATAGGTTGAAGGAAAAACAATGAAAGAAAGGTAGCTATAGAAAGTTCCTTAGTTTTTCTTCTTTAAGTGCAAAGCTGCACAACAAGCTATCGGTACTGTGCCCATCTCCAGAGCTGGGCAACCTAATTGAGTAATCTCTCACCTATGAGCAATGATTAGATCAATTGTTGTCATATAAACTAATCTACTAATCAAAATTATGATTAAATTGATTGTCATAAAAATAATCAACTAATTGAAAGAATAGTATTATGTTTATTTATTAAGTAAAAAGCAATCTGTGCTTTGCCCAATTTAGGGTTGTAGCTATGGTGGATGGGGCCACCCAAGACTCGTTCTGCCCATCCATAACGCCCATGCAATGTGACTACTGCCACCCAGCACTAAATATCACTGAGAAAATATTCACCATAAGCATGAACAATTTCTTTGTCAATGTCACAGTACAATTTACTTCACAATTAGCTTGTTAGAAACAAACACTTTTCCTGAAAAGTCACGAAGCAAATAACCTGCATGCGAAACTAAATGAACGGCTCACGCCATGCTAATTCACTTGTACTTATTGTGGCTCATCAGACAATATCATTCACAGTGGATACCATACAAAGCCTATTTTCTTTCCAGTAAAAGTTTATGTGGTGTGTAAAAATATTTTCAAAATTTTATAGATATTTAAAATATAAAAGTATATCAATGTGTTTTTGCATAAAAACTTAGTGATCTCATTGTGACTAATTTGTATCAATTACCTACTGCTAAAGATAGATCAATCAGAAAAATAAAACTCAGCCTAGAGTAACATTTGTCTCCACTTTTATTTTATTTTTTATATTTGTGTTTCAGGTTATAACGTGTTTGCCTAGTGACTACTCCTGTGGAGTGTTTTATCTGACTTTCTAAAGGAATTTACAAATTTTCAAAGTCATTAAAGTTATAACACATTAAAATTATAAACATGAAAATAATAACCTTTTTTTTTTGCCTGGTCAAGGGGGTGGTGGTGGTATGATGGTGGCAGCCACAGGCATGTGCATCTATGAGTTAAACTGGTTTTTACCACCCACCACTCAAAATCTGGTTCAGCTCCCAATGCCACTTTTTTCCCTTTTGGACTGCTGACAAAATAAGGTAGACAACCAGCTGAAAGTCCCCACCACAAACTTTTTTTTGTCTGTACACATCATGGTTTGAGGAACACTGTACTAGTCAATTAATCAAATGCATTTGATTAATGGGATAATCTACTGATAGCATTAATACCCAGCTCTAGAAATAAAGCCTTGAATTTTAAATGTTATAAGCTTAAGGGCTTATGATTGAAGAAAAATTATCACTACATTCTCTCTATTAGGAAAAGATCCTTCTGACTAACTGCACTCTGGGAAGTGACAAACAAAGTAGTATAAGTAATTTAACCATTTTGCTTAATTTATACATTTAACATCTAAACTATTTCATGAATGATGATCTGACCACCCTTAGAACCAATCTAGTCACATCACCCATTAGAAAGAACAAATTTCTCATCCTTGTAGCAACCACCTTCAGAAGTCATCTAACAAAACATTTA